GAGAAGCATTTACTGTAAAAATTAAGACCAGTGGCTACTCTTTTAGAAAGAAATAGGACTGTAATTAGGATGGGACATTAAGAGAGGTTTCTGGAATTGACTAGCACATTCTTATCTCCTTATCTGGTTATGGGGATATTTGCCTTATAGAATTCAAAACCCTTTACATTTGTTTTCTTTGACTCAGTATGTTTATGTATTATTTTTCAATAGAATAGTTCAAAATGTATGAGATATTTCCATTATACAAGAAAAAAAAACCCGGAAACAAAAAGAAAAAAATAACCCATAATGAATTAACTCACAAAACAATTACATTCTTCCAGTATTTTGGTCAACTAATTATGCCATTCTTGTTCCCTATGAAATATAGTTCATAAGATCAAGTGCTAAGCTGCATGCTACAGACTATATCCGGGTATTATATCTACATTGAAAGGAATCCACTTGAGTAGGGTTGCCAGATATTACACCAGAGTGTCACACTGAAACTAACTAATGACAAACCCCCCAAAAAATCATGATTTCCAATTTTTCTTCACCTATTTGGAAATAAATATTTATCTTTTTTAAACAGCAACAGAACACTGATTTTATTTTGGGGCTGCTTAATCCTCTCTTTGTGAAACCTAAAAGAGAATTAGAGTATCCTTTCCTTCTCTTTCCTTCAGTGATCTAATATTCATTGAATTTTACCTTGGCCAACAAACAAATTAAAAAATTAGAAAAGTGTTCAACCTAAAGAGCAAAGTAAAAGTCAAAGAGATAAAAAATTGGAATATGCCTAACAAATTCTAACCTCTGTTGAGAGCTCATAATGAAAACCAATTTTAGCTATAAGTTCTTTTAAACAGAAGCTCCAGCAAATGTAATTGCATGCCAAAACTTCTTTAAATTTATTTTTTCTTTAAATATAATGTGTTCCACTACAAACTACACAAGCATAATGATGAGCTTAAAATGAAAGTACTGTTTTACAATGATATGTACCTATAATAATATTCAGTATAAAATCTGTAAAATATTCAACACTGTGATTTGTTTGGATAATAGTAAGCACTCTTTCAGCAATAAAATATAGGTCTATGACACTGAACAATTCTAGTTATTCACTTTCTAAATTTACCGATAAGGGAACCATTTCTTGCCCTAAGAAATTTTTCTAGTCTTAAGTGAGAGTGAGGAGACTTGCTTCAGAATAGCAATTGTCTTACATTCTTACATTATGGTCACTTGTGCAATATATCAAATAGGCATATTATTGAATTCATAAAAATTTGAAGTAAATATCACAATAGACTGAATTATGCAGAATGAATTATAAAACAATTCAAATTACAAAATCAAAATGTGTATTCCTCACCCCAAACTATTTTTATTCTAAACTAGTAACTCATTTATAGCTAGTTATAAGGAGAAAAAAAAAGAGCTGTCAGTGTTTTGTAGCTGCCATTTCCTTAAGGGATTAAATTTAGTGCAAAGAAGCTGGTTTGCTAAAATTTCTAATTTAAACACTTGAACAACCATATAGTTGTTAGCACAACTTTGCCTTTTACCATTTCCATCTGCAATGTTAATCACAATTCTGGGACCCTTATCAGTTAAATATGCCAAGTTCTATCAGTTTGTGAAGTAATTGAGGATGGCAGCAAGAAGATTTTCTCAGAAAGAGAGATGAATTGGAATTTTCTAAAACCTTATCAAATTTAGCATGTATCTCAGTTGAAATATCCCTTGTATGCGGAAAAATGAAGGCATATATGACATATAGATTTCAATAGATGCATAAAAAACACTGTCCTAATATATTTACCCACGATCAAATCAATCAACAGCAACTATAGATTATACTCTTTTTGCAGGAAACATGTTTATAGGAAGTATAATAAAAGTAAATCTTCATTTTTGATATTTTTGTATTATCTAAGTATCAAAGTGCTTTTATATATTTTCAAAGTAGGGAAAATCCTTATTTTAACTTTATATCTATATATAGGCATTGTTAAATATGTGCTAATACTGGATACATCTCTTTATTGTATTGTATCTTCTGATTTCATCATTCTTTGTTAAAATTTTATTACCAATTTATGATGAAAGTTCATGACTAAAGTTCCGTGGTCCAGCATTCCGATCTAGTGTTCAAAGATACCATATACCATGTCTAAGGTCCATTTGAAAAATTTATAAAAACTATGCAGTGAGAATTGGGGATGTAGATTTTCCCACGTGGTGTCCATACCCAAACTATCAGTCCTATGAATGGGAGCAGCAGAAAGCACTACAAATTAGCTGGGAAAATGATGAATTAAAGAAAAGTTTCAATGCATAAATATTTTCCTACACTATCATTTCTACCAAGGTCAAAGAATCATGCAACCTTCAACTGTTAAAATCACCAGTGTTGTGGTAGATTTTGTAAAACAGTTTTGTGTTTTGGAAAACCTTATTTTAGCAAATAAAGGAAACAATAAGCTAAAAAATTTATATCGAAATGCCCTGAAGTCTTGCTATAACATGACCTACTACAGGGTGATTTTTCTGTCTGAGGCAATTCTATCTCAGACTTCCTCCATGAGGATTCATTAGAGTAAGTAGCAAAAGAATCTAGTTGTAACAAGTTTTAACCTATAACAGACTAATGTGATGTTAACCATATTTATACACTCCAGTGTCTTTTTTTTTAAAAACAAAATATAAGATCAGGGAAAATTTTTAAATTTCAGACAAAATAACTATTTATATGATCATAATATATATATTTTTCATTTATTTATTCCTTATCCAACTATTCACAAGATCCGTTTTAGTTGCTACACATAGTTTGCGAAATATAAAAAAATTCAAATGAAGATTTTGAATAAAGGCATCTTTATTAACAGAGTGAAATAGAAAATGAAAAATGATTCATATTTTGTGAGTATAGACCTAATTTTCTTAATTATGATCAAATCTTAAAATGAATGAGATAAATTCCTCCTGTGTAATGTGGACCATTATCCCAAAATATTTAGAATTAATGAAAACCATTTATTTAAAATCTTAATATTGAATACAGTGCATACTACCTGAGATAGTTGTCACCATCACATAGGAACAGGCTTTTTATATGTGAAGCAAGAAAAATAGGTAAATATCTGTTTACATTGCTAGGTAACAAAAAGACAAATACACATGTAGATTGTGTAGACGGTCTGCCTAATCCTACAAACAAATCTTTTCCAGGACAAAAATGTTCTTTTTCCATTCTTTTACTATAAAGTAATGTCAGAGATCATTAATTCTTTCCTGATGGAAAGTTCATAGATTCATGACAATCCTGCCCAGGAGTGCCCATCTGTCTTTTAGTACATTGTCCTTAATTGTGTAACTAGTTAAGTCCTCACTGTATTAAAAAGTGTGTGATTACTTTCAAATTTCTGACTCCATGAAAGAAGTAATTATTTTGCACCTGTTCCCTAAATGTTATATTTTTTTTTTCATTCTTCAATAACAATCAAGTAAAATCCTATCTATTTCATTTATTTGTAAGAGATTTTGTGGCTTCATCAGAGAGAAAGTGTCATATTGTGATTTATATTATTATGCTTTCAGGATGAAATGCACAAATTGGTAGATATTTTTCATATATTTCATACCTGAGACACTACCAGATGGTACTGTGCTAGTCTCAGGTTAATCATTATGTGAAAGACCTGGGCTCACAGCCAGACCCAACATACCATTGACAGAGAAAACAATGTAATGCTGAACTGTACGTAAAAATCACAAGTGGCACTTTTGTACTTTAAACAGACATCTGCTTTCACATGTTGTGTTTATCTGATATACATAGATGTTATGTATAGTCATATATATATCTGCCTATGTGGATATCAGCTATTCCTATTTCTCTACACATACATTAGAATACACACATTTTTTGCATTTTCCTGTGCTTTCCTTGTATTTTTTTTTTCCTAAGCCTTTCCTGGTGTTTCTTGAAGGTGATGTTGTTATATTCACCTAGGAAAATTCCCAGCTTAACAAAGTCATCAACTAGACACACTGAAGTAGTGAACATCCTGTTTTCTGACTGGGATTCTTTTTCATTCTTTCTCTTTCTTTCTTTTCTTCTTTTTTTAAACATATGTAGAGGATACAAGTTGAATTCCATTGCATGTATATATTGTACAGAGATAGGGTCTAGGCTTTTGGTGTACTCACCACCTGAGTAGTGTGCACCGTACCCCATAGTTAATTTTACATCTGCATCGCTTCCCAGCCTCCCCGTTTGTGAGTCTCCAATGTCTATTACACAACTCTGTGTGCCCTTGTGTAGCCACGGGGATTCTTTTATTTGCTTTGGGAACAACTTACACGGACAAAATTTCCAATTTGAATTTTTTTTTTTAAAGTATAAATGTTTGTATTTCAAAAAGCAAAGAGAAACCCTAGTTTTCTGCTAGTTTTCTTCTCTTTGTTTTGTTTTTGGCAATATCCTCAAAGGCATCTCTGATTCTTTTTACTTGATCATGTAGTCAGTCTGATTTTTGTAATTGTCATCCAAATCTCAAGACCTATACGTTTCAGGGAGTTTGTTTTATACCTTGCTCTTCTTCCACCCCTTCATCTTTGTCTTGAGAGTCCCCTGCTAAATTGGGGTCCCAGTACCAGAACTGCCAGCAACCCTGCCCTAATGGGAAATAAAAGGGAGCTGGATGTGTGTGTTTACAGTGTGCCTTTCATGGGATGTATCTTTTACCTAGTGGAAGGCCTAATGCCTAGTTGTCTGACCCATGCGGTCCTTCACATGGGAAACTTGTTTATACTGGTGATGCACTGTGGCTCTTATTTGACCCAGGTCTGGTTCACATATGACTGACCACCACTCTGGTGCTGGGAGCCCCATCCTGTGTCCCTTTACCCTACATCCTGAGGCAGCCCCTGGTTCAGCAAATGCAAAGTGCAAATTCAATACATCATCACAGTAGGAAACAAGTTCAATGATTTTTACTTACGTATCTTAAGCAAGGAGGGCATCATTAGCTGCGAGAGAAGTCTTCCATTTTGGGGTCATGTGAGGCAGTAATGAAGGGTCAGGAAGAGAGAGAGAAAAGGTACTTGGTAATTAGCAATATGTACAAGTGGATAGGGTGTGAATCACTTTAAATTCATGAGCAAAGGCTTGACTAGTTCGTTTAAAGGAAGCAATGGGAAAATGGGGAGCCCCATCTGTTAGGCAGGAGAAATGCTGCTAAGTTTTTAACTTTGGCCACTAGCTTGAGCCATTTGGGTGTGTTGTAGAACTGGAAATGTGCCAAGGTGCCTGAGTCCTGCTTCTGGTATGAGAAAGTTAAACTTGTTTTCAAAATGGATGCTGAAGCAACATAAAATTATGACAATTCACTATAATTTTCTAGTCTCTCTTGAATTTTTGATTATTAATAATACAACTATGAGAAAACTGTTATTGTTTTTGATAACTGCTAGGAAGATTTTATAGCTCATAGAAGACATTTAACAAAACTGAAAGCACCACAAGAGAATTTTAGCTTCATTTTGACTGGCTCATTATGTAGAGTTCCTTTACTTTTGAAAATATTACACAAATGATTTTGTTAACCTGGTAGAGTTTAAACCTCTCAAGTACACATAGTTTTAATTATCCTCTTAAGTTCAGCTTCATAACTAGATCAAATTAGAAAAAAATGTATTATTAGAGTTTATAGAGGGCACAAAATAATTAGCAGTAATAAGGACTTAATATTCACATGGTAATATAAGTATAACTTAACAAGATAATTAATCTTTAGGTGAGCAAAATCCATTTCAAAGATGTTAAGTTTATAAGGATTGATTGCAAGAGCAAATGAGCTAGGCTTATCTCTCAGAATCTCTGCTTTTATTAGCATTAGCTTTTGGTAGCTTCAGTAGTAAATAGGTGATAGAGTGAACATCAGCAAAGTAAAATGCAACTAAGATCAAACATGATGCACTCGAACAAATTATAATGCATCAGAGATACGGTCTTCCTGTATCCTTAGGAATACGAGTTCGGGTAAAATGGAGGGAATAAAAACAGTTATAGAAATAAGCCCCAGTCCTGCTTTCAAGGTGATTCATGGTCTAATAGGGGTAGGGGAAAGAAACATACAAGTAAATAATTATTATAATAGCCTGAAATAACGCTACACCAGAAAATATAAACATGGGTAGTGAGAAATCCCATACATCATAGAAGGGCTTTTTGGAGAAACTGGTTCCTGAATTGAGTCTTAATAAGTAGGAGTAAATTATATAGAACATGCACAGTTATGGATGAGCAATAGGGACTGTTCCTAGTACATTTCCGTTAGAGGAGTTAGACATACAGAGACAGAAAAGAGAAGATAGATTTAGTGAACTCAAGTAATTCCCTAAGGTTCTAGTTTGTATAATCAACCATAGTGCCAGGAACTGTCAGCCTTCTTGTTTTGCCCCTCACTAGTTCAGACTCATTTAATATATTTAACTGAAAATAGAAATGCAGCTTCATTACTAAAGTTTCTAATGAGCAATAGTTAATTCCTTTAAAAGATCTAAATTAACATTTCCTTTATATAGAAAGGAAATGACATTAAAAGAGGATCAGTGTCTTTCCCAACTTATAAAAATAAGTGAAAAGGAAGACATACTCTTTTCAGCTTCTTAATATATGGATATATAAAAATCAAGCAATGATAACAGTCATAATGGTAGAAAAGAAATGCACACTAAAGTAACAGTTACATATTTTAGGAATAGTTTCTCTGAAAATTATAGTATTTTTACACATCTACTGGAATTTGTGGTAAATTGTTTTCCCATCAGTTTATAGCAACTGGCTAAAAAAAGAAAATTTGAGAATGACTCATAGTTATGAGAAAGAGAGCTATCTTGTAATGGTATCATTATTATAGAATTGTGGTGATGCAACCATAAAATGATCTTGCATTCATTTTGTGTGGAGATAGTGAATAAAATTCATATTAAATTTTAAGGTGTTAATGTATATAGAAAAATGAACAAATACATCCCTAATGGAAAATAACAGAAATGTAAGTGCTACTGGAGAATATATTCAGCTAATATCACTGAAGAAGGGTACTCATAAATGTATGTAGCTTACCCCAAACATGTATTATCAAGCTTGATTTCTTGTAGACATATTCAAGTTTTTCTTCATATACTGAGTTTAATGCCAGAGTTACTTATAACTAAGAGTTTGAATATGGTATACTTTACATAAATTCAATAAATAATTTAATTGTTCTGTTCATGAGTTGTGCATTATATAAGGAAAAAAAAACTTTGTGAAATTTAAAAGATAAACTAGAAATATACATCTCTAATCATCTCAGCACAGAAATGAAAAAATTATGGAACTCATGTTCTAATTCAGTCACAAATTTCTATATTATTTTCTACTTTGATCTGACATTTATCAAAAATCCAATATTCTGGGATCAAATATTTATTTTAGAATACCTGATGTATATAGCACCTTACAAAGCAATATCACAAAAGTCAAACTCTATGCTGAAAGAAAAGTTTACATATAACCAATGCAAAGAGAAAATTCATCTCTAACAGACATGGTTTTCTGCAGTTAGTAAGTTTCACCTTTTGAAAAATAAATGAAAGACTTAAAAATTAGAAATATGTGAAGGAGAATAAAAGAAAATCAAAGTTATTATAAATACCAAGAACAACAATTACACTGAGATGAATAAGAGGTATTAAATTTAATATTTGTAAAATATGATGAAAAGATATGAAAAAAGGTCTGAAAATTTTAGTTAACTATGAATAGCATAATGAGAATTCAAAAAACACTAAAAATGCCATATAGGCACATTACCTTTATGGCAGTGAAGCAAATTATGTACTTGAGCTTTTAAAGGGAGAGAATTATATGATTGTACCATGGTCAGATCTCAAATGGAGCAACACGTCCACTTCTAGGCAATGGATTTTGAAAATGAATATCGATACTATAGATGTATTAAAAATGAATTCAATAATTAATTTGAATGATCTGCTTTTCACTTTAATAGATTAATTCTCATTATAAATATATATAAAACAGAATAATTATCTTTAAAGAACTTTCAGTATGTGGGATGGCAACTACATAGACAACTCTTAAGCATGTGAGAAATGACCTAAAGGATATATACATGCACCAAAGGTGAATGTAGTTCACATGGGAAAACATCCTACACACAGAGCAACCAACAGTGTTACTATTACTGGACTCATATGCTGGTAGCATTTTTGGGGAGCAGAAAATGGGAACACCTCATATCTTACTCAGAGGAATAACTTTCATAGATAACTACATAGGTTTTTCAGGTATACTGTATTATCCCTCTCAATCTAAAACCATTTTTTCCATAAAAATGAAAACTTATTTATTAAAAAAATAATCAAGTATTGTTAGAAGTATGGTCCTATAAATGCAAGCTTTGTCTCCAGTTTGGAACTGTTTATTCACAATAATTTTATTGAGTCAAGTAATTTATAATTTTGTGGGATCTTTTTATTTCTAACCGTATCACCCAACCAACAGAATTTTTAAAATCTTTATTTTTCACATCTTGTCATGAAAAATATTGCCTCTCAAGAGTATTTCATAAAAATTTAATTAACTATAACTATATACAGAATATAAATGTATTTTTTAAAAAGGAAATGCAAAGAGATAAGTGATAAAAGGACTATAGAGGAATAGAGAGATATAGAATTGAGGCAAATCAGATGAAGTCCATAATTCTTTCTACTTAGCTGGGTGCCTGGGGTGGTTCTTCCCCATTCCACTTACACATTACTATTTTAAAATCTTTTCCAATTGAGAGAACTGTGTATATTAAATTATGAAATACTTAGTCAAAACTTGATATTTGTCTTCAAATATTTGTAGATTTTCATCTAAAATGGGATGCAGACATTTTTATGATGGCATACAAAATTTATATGATCACATATAGACCAACTAGGATGGAGATACATATTCTTAGCTGGGAATAAATATCAGTTTTTTATAAGGTAGAACATAATAATGATTACAATTGTTATAATAAAAATTTATCTTCTTTCTCAGAACCAATGAGCACCTTAATCACTGGAAGTGTTTAATCCCAAGTGATATGCTTATATTTTAGAGTGATTTAGAAGATATTTCCCAATTTAGGGGGAAAGGCAAATAGACTCTAAGATAGATTCCTACATAGAATATTATGATTCCCAAAATACTGGATATAAAAAATAAACCAATTAACCCCTTTTTTGTCCAGTTCCTCACTATTTTTAGAAATACATTTACAATGTTATCTGTTATTATTGCTCTTTTTAAAATATGATGAAAGAGTAAAATTTTATTAATTCAGCCTGATCAGAATTTGTTTCAACTCAGTAAGGATAGTCTAAATAGTATGTACAACAGATGAAGAAAGAGTTGTTAAAGAAGATTAATGAACTCACAAACTGCAAAAGAATAGCCGTATCATTTTAGGAAGTTATTTTTCTCAAGGGTGCTATCTTAGCTGTTAGTACCGTGGTCACAGAAAAAGCCCTTGACTCTACCCATTAACCAGTTAAGAGATCCTGAAAAGCTTCATAGTCCCTGTAGGGCTCAGTTCCTTATTCTGTGGCTGAAAGGATTTAGTCAAAATGATCTCTAAGATTATTCCCATGTCTATGTTTTCTATTATTTCAACTACCCCATAGAACCACATCAAGAAGAAAATACCATTTATTGATTTCTGTATAACATTACCGTAAATAATGAATTACATTAAAAGCATGACTGGCAGTAAATTTTTCATATCATCAAAATAACTGAAAATATAATTTGGTGTTTTAAGTTCTATGTATATGCTTTAGTGGAGAAAAACACATTTCATAGTAAGAAGTTATAAGCAATACAAATATTTTCATAGAAACATAAAGTTATATATATTTTTTACATATTTTCCATCTAATTTCAGCTATACATGTAGCATTACATGTACATCTAATTTCAGCTATACATTATTACCTGGTTGGAATTAAATCTTTTTGAGATAAATATTGTAGACTAATTACTACTTCCAGAGTCTTAGATGCTTACAACTTACAAAAAGTTAAGATTTTTTTTATTTTATAACCTTGCTAAATCTTTATTGTTGTTTTTGAAACAGATTTTTAGAAACAAAAATTATGTTAGAGATCATCTAGCCCAATTTTGGCATTTTTAAACCAGGACCAAAAATACTTCTTAGCCCTCTCATCAAGAGGTAATAGCTGGAATCATTGCCATTGATGTTCTGAAGCACCCAATGGGAAGTCCTACTACTCTGAGATGGTTGCCATGCTGGAGAGGCCACTTGTGGAAATTCTGGTTGATGATTCCAGGTGAGGTTGGCCTTCCAGCCATTCCCAATGAGGCATCATGTGACCAAAATAGTTTTAGACTTTGCATACCAGCCTATTTGCCAGCTGAATATCTTTGAGTGACTTCTGTCAAAGTTCTATGAAAAAGAAGAATCAATTATTTGGATACTGCTGCTGAATTATTGCCATAAAATCATGAGATATAATAAATTGCTGTCTTAGGCAATTAAGTTTTGGGTAGTTTTTGGTTTTTGGTAGTTTTTTTTAATGCATCAATTGATAAACAGAATTTAGTCACTGGAAGTGAGGTTCTACCATTACAAAATCTAAAGTACATAGGTTTTGTCTAAGGACAGGGCAGCAGGAAAAAGTCTGACAAGCCCTAAACTGACTCATACGAAGGCACTGAAGGGGATCAGAAAAAAACAAACAAATAGTGCTTGGACCTGGCATGAAGTTTTATAATACTGTCATCTGAAGTAACCTGGAAAATATGAAATGTACTTAATGAACTTGATAATCTACCTAAGATGATTTCTGGGCAAAGTGGTAAAAAGGTGCCACCTGGTTTCTTCCAGCTGTCTATAACAGGATGAGAGAAAAGAGAGAGGAACTAAATAATCAACTATCCGATCATCTTCTAGTAGAATATGAAGTAAATGTAAAGGTTTTTAAGACAATCTTTATAACCAGTGAGTCATTCTCAAAATAAGAAATGGGCTGAGGGTAAAGATCAAATATGGGGCATTGCCAGTGGAGCACAGCCTCAATTACTCTAGACTGCGCCTGTGAGATCCATTATTATGACTTCAGAAGGATTGAATGCTGTGTCTCATATATCCTCTGAGTTAACAAAAGGAAAAGAGGCTTCTAAGAACATGGTATTTAGATGTTCTAGGATTCGTAATAGTGCTTTAGATTCTTCAGTGCACAGTCAAACAACAGCCTCACAGGGAAACCAAGATAAAGGAGGGCTTATCTCAAAAAAGATTTATAGGTATGGTTTTTGTCAAACGGAATAGATTAGGAATTGACATGCAAGAGTCTCATGAAAGTTTTTTTTTTTTAATTATATTACCATAAACTTAGAGACAGAAAGAGTAAACAACAATTAAGAAGGCAATTAGATACTCCAAAATCTATAGGCAGGAAGCAGTCTAAAAAAACTAGATTTTATGAGAAGTATTTATGGAAAAGGCTACACTATATGGAAAAGGACGTTTTCAGAGTGCAGTAGAAAAGTCAAGAGTCATATAGAATTATACACAGGGATCAAAACTGAGCCCCAATCAAGGAAATGTAAACATGTACCTGGATGTATTAAAGAATTTCTGTACAGCAGTGATTGCTATGTGTTTTTTATTTTCTGTTTATGGAACAGAAGTGTTTACTACAATTACCCTATGCTTTTCTTATCTTTGGACATGATTTTGGTGAGGTGGTAGGGGTTTTCTTTTTAGTTCACAGGTCTTCAGACTAAGAGTAGCTTTATACCTGAGGTAAAGAATCCAAGGCACTTCTGTAATTAGACCTGATTTAAATGATGAGATGCTGGGCCTTGCATTTAAGCCTTATATATAATAACAGAATTATATTTTTGATATTTGTTGTATGATAGAGAAATGTCAATAATTGTGTGGCCAGGGCATAGACTATGGTAGTTTTAAGCATGGCAACAAATCATTTGAAACTTCCTTTATGGATATTCATGTGTATACCCCCTCCACTTGAGTATCTACATAGAATAGAGTATGGCAGAAGCAATGCTAGGTTACAAAAGGTCACACAACTTTTACCTTGTTCATGGAAACAATTACTCTTGGAACTCTGACTCAAGACATAAGATTAAGTCTGACCACCTAGAGGCTGCCATAGTGAAGGAGCCGCCTTTAGGCATTTTGTTGACAATCCAGCTGAACTCAGTCTTTCAGGTATATCCACCAATTGACCAGATGTGTGAATATGCTATCTCCACTCTTCAGTCCAGACCATATAACTAACAGCTGAATTTCACCAAATGACCTCCATTGTACCACATGCAACAGCAAAATTATTTAGCAGAGCTCTGATGGAAGTCATGACCCACAAAACTGGTTAGATACAGCAGAGTGGTTGTAGGATTTTTACCACTAGGTTTTATAGTTATTTGTTCCACACCAATAAATAACTCCAATATCAATCTCTCTTTTAAAAGATAAATCTTTAACAGATAAAGTTGTGAAAGGGAGAAATGATTTGCACAAATTCATGCAATCACCTAGAAGGAGAGCTGGGATACACATTCATGACTTGTGTGTTCTTAGTTCCACTACAATTTATTGTCCTGACAGAGTATGTTTTTATATATAGTATTATGATGTTTAGAAATAAAATAATTAATTTTATAGAATTTAACAATGTTTTTCTTAGTCTTTTTTCTGTTTCTTTCCTTTTATCTCATTATCTTCTACTATTAATAATATTTTCAAACTCAGCACACATTTGAAGACAATAAACATAAATGCATTCCAATTATGAGTGGATTTCCAAATTGAAATTAATTATTTCTGTGATGCAGATTTAAAGCCCTACCCATTTATCTGCCCTCATTCAGTCTCTTACCTTGTGAAATAATTTTACATTGCTTTTCTCACTAGAATAAATCCAGCCTCACAATCAAGAAAGATTCTGATAAGATAGAATTTTAAAACTCTAATCCAGTAAATCACCATTTCCACATTGAGATAACTTTTTGCTAATTTCACTCTTCTGTTATAGTCATGTTTTCTTTTCTGGTTTTGCTTATTAGATAAAACAATTCTATATTCTATATCAAGCAATTGAATCTCTCTCCTTTTGAATACCTGGGTCCTGGTTTAGATTTCCTGCACATTTCCTCTATTCTTTCAGGATTTTAGTCCCACCATACTCTTAAAGAGTCACGATTCTAATCTGTCTTGAAAATTTCAGTCCTGAGGTCAGAATTAGTCTACTTTTCTCCAATTCCCATGAAACTTCTGCAATCCACTCTAGCATCTTTGCTTTGGTACTTAACTGCCTTAACTTATCTTCAAGATACATAACACCTAATTCTTACACTCTTGCTGGATTCCCCTGACACTGGTGTGATGTCTACCTGTCTGTCTTCCTGTCTTGGTCCATTACTGCACAGTATTCATGGTTGTATTCTCCAGATGAAATGCTTTGCCTGTCTGGCTAGATTTTCATCATTTGATTCTTGTTCAGTTTCCAAGAACTGATTTTATCTCAATGCTGGTTTTTAGCCTCCCACATCTATCCAACTTAAAGTCTTTCTGCCACTTCCAAGTCTTAACTAGACTGATGAGAGAGTAACTGATGTATGATAGCTAATAGGCAATTATGTCGCTCTAATAAGAAAAATACATTTTAAATCAGTGTTGCCAATAAAATTTTAATAGAAACTCACTTCTTTTTATAAATTTTTTTGAAAAAATAATTGTACTCTGTTTTCTTCCTAGCCTTTGATTAGAATAATAACTGAAAGACAAAGATTAAAAACTGAGTTTCAATGTCTTTAATGTACACACATTTTTAAAGGCTCTTATTTTTGGTTCATTAGTATTTAAGTCAAAGGAGAAGTTTTTATACTTATTTGTAAATAACAGTGTTCTTACAGTAGAAAAATTGTGACATACCTATTTTTCTCTTTAATGGAGTGAAATAAAACATATTGACCCTACGCATATGATGGTTTTCTTCTTTGGTAAAAAAAGAGTGTGTAATTCTGAGCTAGATTCCTGATCAAGGACTTAACGTCACTATAAGAATATGCATGTCAGCTACTGTAATCATTTATATAGTAAAAAAAAAAAAAAAAAGTCACATGTTTTAAAATTGTTTCTCATTATATTGTATATGGACAATGTCCAAGCAGGAGAAAGAGCTACACAGTAATTTAAATAAACGAATTTTAAAAATTACTAAGCTATGTCAGAATTTTAACTATAAAGATGGAAAGAGAGCTGTATAGTGTACTCTAATGCTGCAGTCTCAGTGTCCCAGCCACAAACGGGTACTGCTCTGTGGCCTATTAGGAACCAGGCAGCACAGCAGGCTCAGCCTTCTCCAAGCCCACCCTGGGAAAAATTGTCTTCCATGAAATTGGTTCCAACCAGGGACCGCTGTTCTGAAGTGTTGCTCTATCTTTTCCCAGGGTTAAGGAAAAGTACCTAAGGAAGGTCATACTTAGAAGGGCCTCCCTCATCTCCCTCCTTCCCCAAGGATAAAGTTCAGACCCTGTTGCATTGGGTTTCCTGGGCCAAAGCTGGTCTACAGTTTTCAAACAAGCAGGGAAAAACAAACAAAAATCCCTCTGGGCTAGGGCTGCATAATCACCAAGGGACTGTGTGCTTCGGGTACACAGATAAGCCAGTACCATACCAGATATACCCACTGTGGCAAGCTCAGGGAAAGATTACTCCATGATGTCAGAGGCCTGGTACTTTTTCAGCACTATCACTGACGGTGCTCTTGTACACATCACTCTGTAGCTACAAATGACAGGCTTAGCCTAGACAATTTCTGATATTAGGCTTTTTGGTCTTGATCATCACTAGACTTTGTACTCAAAATACAGAAACATGCTAACATTTTGCTGGTGTTCCTAAAGAAATTGATGAGACTATGTTTAATATTCCAATACATATCTCTGAAGTGTTTTCTTTTTCATTTTTCTTGGAAAATGTGACATATATTTTTTGTTCTAACACTAGGGGTTAGAATTTCACAGTGGCACAGGCTGGAAGAGTATTTGCCACAATGCTAAATGCAAACCTCTTTGATCTTCTTATATTAATCACAATGCAATGACTAATTTAATGTAGCATTTGTCTCACCAAAAATTAAGAAATTATTTATAATGGTAATCATTAAAATAATGACATTTTAAAAATCAAAGCTACGTTTGTAAATGATTTAATCTCTCAGGAGCAACTGAAACTCATCCTAGAATTATATTTGTGCTCCTCGTGTCCATATGAACTAATTGTTTTTGTTCTAGAAAGTTAGTCAAATTGTTAACTTCATTTTCTGGCTAAAAGTGTGAGGTCTGGAGAAAAAAATTGTGCAACTGAGTTGTACATTTATCTATTTATTCATATTCTCACTGTATCAATCACTATTTACTAAATACAAGACACTGTGATACATTATGAAGATATAGCCATGAGCAAGACAGAACTTACATTCTAGCCCTCATACAGCTTATATTCTAGCCCAGTATAGACAAAGATTAAATAAATAAATAGGAACTAAGTTATTGAAAATTCTGGTAGAAATTTTGAAAAAGATATATGGTGATATGAGAGACAAAAAAAGGTCTAATCTCTCATGCATGTTAGGAAAGCCTTGCCTGAGAAAATTATAGGTGACTTCAGATATAAATAATGACTAGGAATTAATCAAGGTAGCAATAGTGAGCTTATGTGAGCTGTTCATGTGAAGGAAGAAGCCCTTGAGGCCTAGAATAATCTGAACTAATGAAGAACATTAAAGAAAAACAATGTTCTCGGGAAAACATGCTGTGAAGAGAAGCTGCCAAGGAGCCAGGAGCTCTATCATGTATTATGTAAGATTATTTGGGAAGTTATTAGCTACAGCAAACCTCATTGCACCTCAATTGTCTCTTCTGTAAAATGGAGAAAATAATGCCTCTGTTTGACAATGTTATAAATATTAAACAACAGAATGTTTACCAAGTCTTTGGTACAGTCTTGCCAAACTAAGCATTTCTTACCTAGAATATTTCCAAAAGCAGAACAATGAAGTTAGATTCTATTGATTTTTCTAACCTATAGTTTTTGCATAATTTCAACTCTAATCTTAAATTCATTAAGAATGGTATTTTTACACCTTAGATTTTTAAATTTATCTTGTCATTATTTATGTATTTAGTAATATTTAAGTATTAGAGAGATGAGGAAGTCACTACTTAATTAGAACACAAATAAGATTTTTAAAATCGAAAACTAGAATGTAAATAATATATTTTGGAACATAGATGCTCAAGTCTTTCAGTAAATAAATAATTTATATTCTAATTTGAAGAATTTCAATCTTTGGCATCTACTTATTAACATATTTCTATTTTTTTCTTGGAAACATGGAAAACACAATTAGCCATGTAGCATCTGTTCTAACTTTTCTCATTGGGCCTGCAAAATTGCTTGAGTCTTAAAGTACTTTCTGATATTCAGTTAAATAACCCTCAAGGTACAGGAAACAACAGTGCTCCTTCTTGTACCTTCTTTAAAACAGTAGTGGGCCTGATTGCCGAGGATAACTTGACCTTATTTTCAAGATGAACTGGAACACCACAGGAAGGTGTCATCGTGTCCAATAGTTCCCCACCAAGCATCTCATTATTTGTTGTCAGATTCTAACTTGAAGTGGATGCATTTGTTTTTCACTTGTACATGTTTTAATAAAAGTTAGAACAAACACTTTAAATATAGCTTCTTTTACCTTTGTATCTGTATTTTTTCCTCAGGGAGCATTTTAAATGGCATGTTAAGGGGTATCCCCTGTCTTCCATTTAGATTCATTCCTCTGGGGTAGTCTTCTTTTAAGTTTTGTTTTACACAAGCAACTGACAGCTCTGGCTTTGCTAAAAAGGATGCATTGTCTGTTTTTCTCTAATGATAATACTCACTCAATGTTCCACTGACCTTTTGAATTTTCCCTCTCTACCTCTGCTCTTACGTGGTTGCAACATGAGCTCTCTTTTCCCAATAACCTATAAGTAAACACATGTATTATAATGGAGAAAAATATCACAAACATGCAAACCAGGGGCTCTGATTCTGGCCTGTGCCATTGTGAAATTCTAACCCCTAGTGTCCTTAGAACAAAACATATACGTCACACCTTCCAAAATGAATGAAAAGGAAAACATTTAGCAGATGGTGTTAGAATATTGAGAATGGTCTCATTAATTTCTTTTAGGGATACCAGCAAAAGGTTAGCATGTGTGTTTTTTTGGAAGTCAAAATCTAATTATGATTAAGACCAAAGAATCAAATATCAGAAATCATTTGGGCTAAGCCTATTAAGTGATGTATACAAGGGTGCCATGTATGATATAACTGGAAAAATGCCAGGCCTCTGACACCATGGAGTAGTCTTTTTCTGAGCTCCCCATGGTGGCCTCATTTAGAAAAACTAGTCCCCTGTTTGCCTTCCAGGCTTTCTTCTTTGTTCATTTTGTCTTTATTTTTGCAATGATGCCCTCACAGCAGTACTATACTGAAAAAAAATGAATGAATTTTAAAGGGAATGCTAAATTGCAACCAATTCATGAACATTTTTTTTCCAGTTTGTGTATTATGCTATGGTAATGATTGTTAGGGACAAATAAAAATTAACATAAAAGGTTTAATTTTCCTGGTTGAAAACAAGGTAAGAGAATCTCCTCTTTCCCAGTTTCTTAGAGTACTTCAGTTAGAACACTGGTAATTGTATACACTTTTTTTTCCTCTCTTTGAAATGTATACAAATCTTTTTTTTTTTTTTCAGGATATTATGAAGGTACAAACATTTTGGTTACATTTTATGTCTTTGTCTCACCCAAGCTAGGATTAGAGACATGCTTCTCCCCTGTGCAATGATCACACATCCATTAGTTGTGAGTTTATCCCCTTCCCCAATCCCCTAATCCCTGGAGAATATTACTACTATGTGAGCACCATAGTGTTGATCAGTTAGTGCTGATTTGATGGCAACTACGTGTGGAGCCTATTCTTCCATTCTTGTGATACCTCACTTCAGATAATGGGCTAAAGCTCTATCAAGGAAAATATAAGAGGTGCTAGATCACTGTAGCTTCTTATTATTGAGTAGTATTCTACTGTATACATATACCAAATTTTAATAATCCACTCATGAATTGACAGGAATTTAGGTTATTTCCACATCCTTGCAATAGTGAATTGTACGGCCATAAACATTTGGGTGTAGATGTCTTTATTATTGGATGTCTTTTGCTCTTTTACCAAATAGGCCTTTTATAAGCTTTAAGACCCAGGAATGCCTTTCTCCTGGACCTGGGAGCTATCTCTTTGAAAGGTAAGCATCACAATAGATACCATCCTTATTTCCCAGTTTCTGATGGAGGGTGGGAACCTAACTTCCCTAGGCACTTTGCTCTAAACTTGCAAAACTCTCTCTTGGTATAAAGATATAGGAAGTTTGTTTATTTCTCTGGATAAAATCGATTACTTAATACAGATGGTTACACCAATTACCAGATAAAGTTAGTTTGCATTATGTGTGACAAATAGTGCTGCTGAGTCTTCTTACTTGAGAACTAGTTTATTTTGAAAATATGCATGTAATGAGTTGTATTTGCTTTGCTATATAAAAGGGGGAACATTCTTCCTGTCTTTGTAATCTCTTAGTAGACTGTCTATGATGCACATCACTTTCTGATTTAATGTTTATTGAATAGTAAATGTGTTTTCTTTCTCTTCTACCTTCAGAGAGAGGATTTGAGGGTTAGGAGAAACCCTCAAACCCCTTTTGTTTTTAATTATATTTCTCCAACATATTACAGTTAAGAATAAATAGGTGTCTCCTGAAATGAGTGTATGTCTACCTGGAAAAAAAATATTAGAGACCCAAAATGTCTCATATCTAAAATAAGTTCACTATTTCTATATGTATACAACTTTGAAAAGCCACATCTATAGGTCAGTAAGAATTTGTATATAAATGGGTAATCTAATTTATAGTGAAGGAAATAAAATTATTTTACCACAAAATATATTTTTGTGACATATTTTGAAATGGCTGTCAGAGAACCAGCAAAAGAAGTAGTCCTGTAAAGCTGTCTTTTATGGGAGAAATTTGTATCTGCAGAAAATCTGCTTTGATGCAGCCAGGGCTTCCCTTGTTTAGATCTAGGAAAGATTAACTGAGAATCTGACACCTTAAAGATCTGAAAGAAACATTTACCATCTATTCTCTCTGAGGGCTGCTACCTGTGAGGTTTTATAACAAGACCACCATGGCTATCCAAGGCTCTTCTCTCTCTTCCATAACCTGTATTGCAACTATAACCTGATTTACCATCATAACCCATTTTTAGCCATGCTCAGAGCCCCTATTCCTTTCTGTAGCCCCAAGATGGTATATAAACTTCTGCACACTCTTGGGTGATTTGGTAATGACTCTGTGATTCTCCTTGTGTATATGTTAATAAATTCTGTGCCTTTTCTCTTTTAATCTGCCTTTTCAAAGTTGACTTTTCAGAAAACTTCAGAGGGCAAAGGGGAAATTTTCCCTTGGCCCCAATGGTAGTATCAAGCAACTTGCTGAGACAGATAGAAATCCTATTTCCCTTTGCTATCATGATTGTCTGAACCAGACACCGTAGTTGGATTAGTTGTGAATAAAGAAATAAATACAGTTAGTGATGATAGAAAAAATATTTTGCCCATTAACCAAAAATAAATTTTTCTATTCTATTTTCAAGGTTTACTTTAATAATGTATTTTAACATGGTCATTAAATGTCTCTTAGCATATATTCTTGACACATAAAGCTTCTGAGAAATGACAGCTGTATTAATCAGTAAAATCTAACAAAAATGTTATTAGAATTTATCGTATTATACCACTTTCAAATCAATGTTTTTATCACTATATTCATAAAATAGTGTTCACACTCCCTCACTGGTTGGAAGATTGGTAGTGGGTTTCATCAAAACTTTGGTTTGGTGTTTATTTGACTGTTTTTACTGTGGAAGTAAACAGAAAGTACTTAATCCAATCAAATAGGAAGATATGACATGGTAACTATGAAATGTTAAACAGTGATAATCTTTAATTGCAACACAATGAGGAATGGGATACACAAGGAACACAAAAGAGGTATGTGACTAATACTGATGAATTTCTATTGGGAACTTTGCATGTTGGACTCTCCTGAGGAAACTTTATCTTTCCCACCAAAATCCGTATGGCATAGGGAAAGTAAAGGTAACACAAATATAAGTATGCTTCTTTTTACAATAAGAGTACAAATAAATATTTCCAGATGGTTATTTTCCAACTTCCAGAACTATAAGAAATAAATTTCTGTTGTTTATGTACCACCCAATTTATGGTGTTCTCTGATAGCAGCCAAAATGGACTAATACAGGTAAAGAAAATTTACCAGAGGAATCAATGTGTTTCTTCAGGCTAGTCAGCTTCTGTGTCTCCTAGTGATGGAACAACAATGGCTGTCATGTGGCCATGGGGGGAGGGTGTCAGGTATCTTTGCCCTTTCCCTATTTGGGATATCTCCTCACCTACTCCTCTTCAGTGAAAATCACACACTTCACTCTAAGAAAGTTTAAATGAATATTAGATAGGATTCAACAAAATTGCTTCTATTTAACCAATTTCCTGTGATTCAATTTATAGTTTTTCATTATCATAAAGTCTTATAGATTTGGGAGGGGAAAAAAGATATTATGGCCTTTGTAAGGAAGTAGTGTAGATGAATGAGGAGTATATTTACATTCTGGATTGCAGTTGGTTGTCTCCTAAAATATTTGAAATCAACCAAACCCATTGCCACAGCAAAAGAATGCAATGCTTTTTGAAGACACTTTTGGGCTCCTGAACTATGGGAGAACAATTTTTGTTGTTTTAGGCCACTCAGTTTGTGGTGATTTTTTTTATGGCAGCCCTAGGAAAGCAATACAAGAGGCTATAGCAAACATCCATGTGAAGCATAATGAATGTCTGAACTAGAGAAGGAGGAAGTGGAAATAGAAAGGAGCATATGGACATAGGATTTACTACAAAGCTTCTGTGTCAGACTCTCACTTGCATAACCCTCCTCCATAGCCTGTACTGAATTTATGTATAAATAATTTGGAATGCTACACTTAAAAAATAAAGCTCCCTTATCATATAAATTATTGATTGCACAGAGCCTATACCAGTCCCTATGTACGTGCCTTGGCAATTATTTACCTATTCAAATAAACTTTAGAAAAAGAGAGGGTATCCTTTATCAGAAATTTAAATTTAGACCAGGAGATTTTTTTAGGAAGTAAATAAAATTCCTATTTCCAAGTTATTTGTAATCTACTTATCCTTCAAGATTTAGCTCATAATTGGGCCTACAAAATGTAGTTTGCTGACCCCAGGTCCAAAGAAATAACTACAATCATTGGCTGCATAATGACATTTCCATAAACAACAATCCCATATATGATGGTGGTCACATAAGATTACAATGGAGCTGAGAAATCCCTTTCGCCTAGTGACCTCATAGCCATTGTGACATCAGAGCACAACACATCACTCACGTTTGTGGTGATGCTGGTGTAAACAAACCCACTGCACTGCCAGACATATAAAAGTATAGCATATACAATTATGTACAGTACATAATACCTGATAATGATAATAAATGAATATGTCACCAGTTTATATATTTACTATATCATACATTTTATCATTATTTTAGAAGGTATTTCTTCTACTTATATAAAAGAATAATTAACTGTAAAACATCCTCAGGCAGGTCCTTCAGGAGGCATTCCATATGAAGGCATTGATATTAGAAAACATGACAACTCCATACATGTTATTTCCCCCAAAAACATTTCAGTGGGTAAGATGTAGAGGTGGAAGAGAGTGATATTGATGATCCTGACTCTGTATAGGCTTAGGCAAATGTGTGTGTTTACGTCTTGGTTTTTAACAAAAAAAGTTTGAAAAGAAAAAGTTCCACTAAAGT